AATGTTATGAATGATCAACACGGAATTCGTTACTCTTAGATAGTAAAAGTTTATGATCTACATTTCGTTCCGTTAAGTTAACAAAATTCTTGGCCAAAGTGTGCTCATTTGACTTATATTGACTTAAGAATAGAATGAAAGATATGATTGATAATCAAGATCGATTTATTTTCATATCACATAATTAATCGAATTATATTAACAAATGGATTATAGTTTCACGATAAACGAATAAATTTGATTTTGTCATACCATGAGACATTTTCCAGTCACATGTATCTACATGACACATTACTAGATGTCAATCTGGTATGACGAATGTGAATTGATTAATCTAGGTGAATTAATGATAAACTAAAAAGGTGTTTTAAATTATCTTATTTGATTTAAACAAAATAATAATTCACGTTGTTAGATATCGTAATCGAGAACCTAATGAATCACACACAAAAAGAGAACTAAAAGAATGTTATTAATTAATTGATTAATTGATAAGTGTTGAATAATTAATTAATTGAGCTATTTATTAATGTGCCAAGTTAATTAATCAAATTAATTAATTGATGGACCAAGTTTAATTAAACATTGGACCGAATTAAGTTTAAGTGCCAAGCCAAATCTACTTGAATTTCTATTAATAAGATGTATAGATTTAGAAAACATAACACAATCATTATCTTGTTAGTACAAGAAAAAAAGAAACACAATTCTTTTATTCTTGTTCCCTTGTGTGGATTATTATTGGAGATTGGACAGCTGAGGTATGCAAATCGTGAGTATACGTATTTCAAGATTGTCAAAGAACTTCATAGAATTAAATAAATGTATAATTTTTAGGGAAAATTGCAGCCACGGTACCAAACATTTCATATTATTGCAAACTTTGTCCAAACCTTTGATTTGTGCTACCCACGGTACCAGATGGTTGCGCATTTCTTTTTGCCAAGAATTTCAACCATTCACAAAAATCAATGACATTTTTATGCTTCCAGTATTTGTATCTATTTTTTTGGGTGTTACTATGTGCGGATATAATTAGAGAAACAAAAGTAAATTTCATCAGCATCTCAATCTACAATTCCATTTCATGGCGGCCATCATCTCTCGTCGATATGAGCTGATTTGTGGTGTGTCGACAGTTTTGGGTTGCCAGCTTTACTGAACAACAATAATTGAGGAAAACTGTCGGTGATGGTGATAGAGGCAGACTAAAGGAGTGGTCGTATGGGCTATTTGTGTGGTTGGGAAAAATACGGAGCAGTGGTAGAAGAAGATTGTGACGACGATGACGGCAACTAGTGGCGGTGGTTTTAGCCTTTTAGGTAAGGGTTGGATGGCGGTGGGGAATAGAGATGGCAATGAGGCGGGTTCGGGACGGAGCACCCTCGCCCCACCCCGCCTCGCTCCGCCACTCCCCCACCCTGTTCCGCCCCACCTTAGATGGGGCGGGGCGGGTTCGGGGCGCGGGCTTGCCCCGTTTCCTGTCCCGTTTATTTATTTATTTTTTTTTTCAAAAACTTCAAATTAACTATTTTTTTGTTTTAAATTTGTAGTTAATTATATTTTTTATTTTTCACGGGGCGGGGCACCCCCTCCCCGCCCCACCCAGCCCAGCCCCACCAACTCGTCGTGGCAGGTTTTTTCGCCCCATTCGGGTCGGGGCTGGGCTGGGTGGGGAGGGGCGGATTTTTTTGCCATCACTAGTGGGGAAGAAGGAGATTGATTTTTGTTCTTTTTTAATTATATATATATATAAAGCAAAAATTACCATTTTGCCCTTTAAGAATTAGTCAACAATTGGTTAGATTTTTAATTTTTGGTCAATTGACAGTCAAACTAACAATTTCTATCAATTTGGACTTTGGGTGCAAATTATTTAAATATTTGGTACCGTGTGTGGCACAAATCAAAGGTTTGTGCAAAGTCTGCAAAAATGTGAAA